AAAATAAGGCACCTGGTTCCATTGTTGCGCTTCCTTGCATTACCCAGCAAAGTATTTGCCCGAAGCTGATAGTACTACAATATGCTCTAGTGATGTTTTCCTGACTCAGGATGAGCGTATTTTGCTATTCGAAATGTTATCAATTTGTTTTTAAAAAGGGTATGGATTTAGTGGTATCATTTCAGAATGGATTGGTTTTGCTTAAATTATTATCGTTGGAGCACAGAACATTTGAAGAAAAATTAAAATGCAGCTAAATTTGAAGATTTACTTCTATGACTCTTTAAATCTGTGGAGTCATTGCTGTTGAGAGAAAGACTGCTTCATTTCTACTTCTCCCCTCACCCACCCCCTCCTTCCCATCTTTACCAAGCTTATTGACTGCTTTTGAAAGACCGATACGCTCTGGGGGCATTTTAAGGGTAGCAGTTGCCAACTGCAACCATTCAGGGCTGTCGATGGCCCCCTATTTCAAGACTATCGATGGCTTCTGTTTCGAGAGTTGTTTAGAAACAAGTTGACGGTGGGTTTATTTTCCTGGAGTTTATCAATATCAATTTACCATCTAGACGAATGAGCGAGTCGTGGGAAGGATTTGTTGACTCATCGGCGGACCGCACCAGGCGGGCCCGTGCAATCATATGTTTTTGCAGTGTTTCGTGCTGTAGTACAATCCCAATAGCCACAATTCGTGACACACTGGACTCGAATTTTAGGAAATTAATTGTGCAGCAACGCTTTACTTGAACAGGAAAGATCCCGTTAAAATTCCAGCTTCCCAGTCTTCCTTGTTTTAGAGTTAGCAATTTTCCCCTAAAACCTTTGAAGCGCCCGTACGCGACAACCACGCACACCTGGAGGCTGAATATCAAATCTTGAACTTGTACTTAGGCTGAAAACATCTTAAAATTTTAGCCTCCTAGCTTTTCTGGGCCCTGAGTTAGTGGTTTTCCCGCCTAAAACTTCCACAGAGCCGTATGTGAGGACTACGCTCACCTACAGGCTGAATTTGAAATCTTTGATTCTGCGCAGGCGGGAAGCACCTCCTTAAAACTCCAGTCTTCCAGCTTTTCTGGTTCTCAAATTAAGAGTTTCCTCGCCAAAACTTTTGTCTGGCCGTACGCGGGGTTCAGACACGCTTGAGATTTGGTACCGTGGTCCTGGGATGGCAATTGCCCAGGGAACCCATTGGCAAAATTTTAGCGCTGGAGCTCGCTTGGTTGCCACACACACATGTATACAAGCACAGACACGGACATACACATACATGCACACCATGCATCGTCAAAATATGTTGCATATGTGCGAAAATGCATAATCATGACGAAAACACTGCTATGCAGGCTTCATAGACAAACGCTAAATACCTTTGCGATATCATCACGATTTGCGCAAAAGTCAAAGCGTTTGATCTGTCCGGCATAATACTTCTCCGCAACTGTTATAAATGCATTTTTTAATTTTGATATTGGTATGTAAAGACGGTTTGCAATCTCCAGTGTGTAGCTTCGAGTTTTGTTCTGTGCATTTTCAATAATAAGATCATGCATATATCGCTCGAAATCCTGTGACGTTTGACCTGAAACACATCGTGAATATGTCCAAATGCCTACTCTAAAAAAGATGTTATCTTTGATATTTATAGTATACAATTCTATTCTGTTGTTGCCGGAGACTTCTCTCCGTAAAAAATGAGTCTGCGGTGGAGGAAATCTCGAGTCTCTTTTAAAAAGAAAAAAGCATAAGTCATTTACTTTGCATTATCCAGTTGAGGCCGTTACTAATTTGTACCTTGAATCATAAAATTGGCCTGACTTTGGGCACAAGATCAGCGCATTCATGCCCACAAAGGTATTTTTTTTTTTTGCCATAAAACATTTTTTTTTTGAGGAAACATATAAAATACAAGGCACAAAAGTTGATCTCAGCACAGCCAACTTGAT